AAATCATACAATCAGATATATGTTGTCCAGACATGGATGAATATGGTCAGAAATACTTTATCACCTTTATAGATGATTACTCACGGTATATGTATCTCTACATGCTTCATAATAAGAACGAAGCATTAGAAGCCTTTAAAGTTTTCAAGGATGAAGTAGAGAAACAATGAGAAAAACAAATTAAGATTGTGAGAACTGATAGAGGTGGTTAATATTATGGTAGATATACAGAAGATGAACAAGCACAGGTCCATTTTGCGAAGTTTCTTCAACAAAATGAGATTGTTGCCCCAATATACTATGCCCGGTTCTCCGAATCAAAATGGTGTAACAGAAAGAAGAAACCGAACATTATTGGACATGGTGCATAGTATGTTAAGTAGCTCTAAGCTAACTAAGTCCTTGTGGATTGAATCTCTTAAGACAGCAGCGCATATATTAAACCGAGTTCCAACCAAGGCTGTTCCAAAGACGCCTATTTAGTTTTTCAAAGGTTGGAAACCTAGTTTGACACATAACGTGTATGGGGATTCCCGTCCGAAGTTAGAATTTACAACCCACAAGAAAAGAAACTGGATCCTAGGAATATTAGTGGATATTTCATTGGATATGCCAAAAGGTCTAAAGGATACAAATTCTACTGTCTATCTAACAGTACTAGGATTGTTGAGTAAAGAAATGCAAAATTTCTTGAAAATGACTTAATTAGTGGGAGTGATCAATTTCACAATACAATTTCTATAAGAGATCAACCTTCCACTTCAAGTCAAAAATTGATTGTTGTACATAATACCCCTCAAGTTCAATTGGGTGTTGAGCAACGAATCAATGAGATTCTACAAGTTGCTGAAAAAATGCATCTAGATCAAGTTGTTCAAGTAAATCCTCTAATTATTGAACAACCAGTTGAACAACATAATCCACAGGAAAATGTTGGTGCAACATTAAGAAGATCTACTAGAGAAAGAACGTGACTTTGTTGTATATTTGCAAGAATCAGACATTGGAGTTGAAAATGGTCCTGAGTCTTTTTCACAAGACATGAATTCTAAAGAGTCTCAATTGTTCTAAGAAAAGATGAATTCTATGAAAACTAACAAGGTCTGCGATATTGTCGATTTCTCTAGTGGTGTTAAAACCATTGGATGTAAATGGATTTCAAGACTAAAAAAAAGGACTTATCGGGAAACATAGAAAGATATAAAGCAAGACTCGTTGCTAAAGGATTCACTCAAAAGGAAGGAATTGATTAGACAGAGAAATTTTCTCCAATGTCTAAAAAGGATTCCTTGCGCATAATATTGGCATTAGTAGCACACTTTGACTTAGAATTGCAACAGATGGATGTGAAAACCGCATTTCTCAATGGTGATCTAGAGGAAGAGGTTTATATGAAACAACCTGAAGGATTCTACTCTAGTAATGGTGAGCACTTGGTATGAAAGTTAAAGAAATCCATATATGGACTAAAACAAGCTTCTCGTCAATGCTATTTGAAATTTCATAATGTTATCTCTTCATTCGACTTTGTTGAGAACATTATGTATCAATGTATATACCCTAAGATCAGCGGGAGTAAAATATGTTTCTTAGTTCTATATGTGGATGATATCTTTCTTGCATCCAATGATAAGGGAATTATACATGAGGTGAAACAATTTATCTCTAAAAGTTTTGATACGAAAGGCATGGGTGATGCATCTTATGTTATTGGTATTAAGATTCATCGAGATAGACATCGAGGTACCTTAGGTTTATCTCAAGAATCCTATATCAATAAAAGTTTAGAGAGGTTCCGAATGAAATATTGTTCACCAAGTGTAGCTCCTATCGTAAAGGGTGACAACTTCAACTTGAATCAGTCCCCGGAGAACGATCTTGAGAGGGAACAAATGAAGGACATTTCTTACGCTTCTACTGTCGGAAGCTTGATGTATGCTCAGGTTTGTACAAGACCAGACATATCATTTGTTGTTGGAATGTTAGGAAGATATTAGAGTAATCCAGGTCTTGACTACTGAAGAGCTACAAAGAAAGTCTTAAGATATCTTCAAGGAACAAAAGACTACATGCTTATGTACAAACGATCAGATTACTTGGAAGTCATTGGCTACTCTGATTCAGACTTTGTTGGCTGTGTTGGTTCATGGAAATCGACTTCACGATACATATTTATGTTAGCCAGTGGAGTTATATCTTGGAGAATTGCCAAACAGACTCTAATTAACACTTCCACTATGGAGGTTGAATTCGTTTCTTATTTCCAGGCTACCTGACATGGTGTATGGTTAAAGAGTTTTATTTCTGGACTTAAAATTGTCGACTCTATATCTAAGTCATTAAGGTTATATTGTGACAATTCAGTTGCAGTTTTTATGGCTAAGAATAATAAAAGTGGTAGTCGAAGCAAGCATATAGACATCATATCTAGCCATAAGAGAGCGTGTTTAAGACAAGAAAGTGGTCATTGAACATGTTAGCACTAAAGTAATGTTAGATGATCCTTAAACTAAAGGCATGCGACCACAAAAATTTAAGAATAATGTAGTTACAATGGGACTTAGTCCCACTATGTAAAATTTCGTTGTAACAATGAATGTTTACGAAACTCTATTTTATGTGATATTTCTCGTTAAATGTGTGCATATTCAATTTTATATTCAGAAATATCACTAAAGTATGGACCTTGAATAAATATTGAGTTTATTCATTTAATTATATGGGTTAAAGTTCAGAGATATAGTGCATTGTGATATATGGAAGATACTACTCACTGCAAGAGAAACTATCACCATGATTCGTGTATTACATCTCATTAATGGGATTAGAATATACGGACCAAGTTGGAGAATGTTAGCATTTTTGTTAATGTTGATATGGTCCGTATTAGATGGGTCCATTATCCTACTTCATATACCCATTATTCCACTAATCGGAAGGTAGTTAACTACCCATTATCCCACTAATGGAAAAATGGTCAATTACCCATTATCTCACTAATGGGATAATGGTACACTGTCCATTATCCCACTACATGAATCCACTATCTTACTAAGTGGTTGATAACTTCCCATGACCTCTTAACAGTTCTTGATGGAAGCAAGGTTATAAATATGTCATTTGGTTCAAAGGTCCCTAAGCACATTACTTCTGAAAACTCCATACCATCTAAAAGTTAGGTTTTGAGTGCGTAGAAGATCTTTGAAGAAAAGAAGAATTGTAGACTCCGACGATATCACTAAAAATGGTTGGAGGTATGTTGATCACTCTATATTTCCGCTGCGTCATTGCTCTGTAATCTCCAACAAAGAGCAGATATGAGAATGTATTTTGTAAAGCTTAAAATGATTCAACTCTTTTATTTCATTTCATTCAACTTGAGTACATTGTTATGTAAGCAGCCCTTTCTTTTAGTTATTTATTATTCATCTATATTACATACTCGTAGATTAAATGTAGCAATGTCATTCAACCTACATATTCTAATGATGCAGATACGGGTTATTAGGATCCTCAAAAAGAGTCTGTTGAGATCACTTCATCCACTCGTCTTCTTATTGGTGAGGCCTCCTTGCTTTCAGAGTACTCCAATTTTAGTAATTGTTAGTAGCATTTCTTTTGAGGATTCATGGGTCTTGTCTCAATGCTCATCTTTATATAGCATAAGCTTCATAGATAGACAATTTTGGAGAGTCTTTCAGTTTCAGATGTTTTACACAAAACCTATGTACATACTTAGTATATTTAATGAGGTTAGGATTTAAAGATACTATTGGTCTATCTATTCTTTCAAATTTAATGCTTATATATTCTTCAATTAGTCATCTGCTTGTATCCATCCAAGATGAAGGTTCGCTTGGGGACTGTCAATGGTCCTTAAGTGTCATCCAAGTCTAAGGTGTAGGCTTGAGTTGTCACAAACTTTGTATCAGAGCACATAGTTCAAGTGTCCTAGGGTGTCTATAAATTCGTGTCAAGTAGGATTTTATATATGGTTTTTCACGTCCCAATTCTATAAATTAGGGACTACGTATATTTAGGAAAAGTTTCCCTTCTTTCATACTCTCAATGTGCATTAGAATTGTGTCATAAGGGACTTACTCTAACTCGTGTGTTCCTCTTATTCATTCGACTACTCCTTATACTCAAGGTAGTTTAAAAGCAAATTTCATATCCTTATCGATGAGTTAGTCTTAAATAAACTTTTGAGGAAGTCATGAAATGACCCATTCCCATTGTTATGAAAAAGCCAATGGGGATGGAATTTGGGCTAGAAAACTTCTGATCAGTAACTTGGAAGGGAATTCGATAATGGATAAGGATTTAATTATGATTTTGATAATGTGAATGGATAGCCAACACGTCAAGAAGCATCTATGGCTTTATGGAATTGAATTTGAGCAAGTAAAACTCTTGAAACTGATCTAAGTGAGAAAAGGTAGTTTTAAAACTTCAAGATTTGACGTTGTGTTGCAAAATGGCAACTTGGAACTCAAATTCCAAATTTCTTTCTCCATGCAAGCCACTTAGGTAGGGTTAATTCTACTAGAGTGGGCCGCTGGAGTGGGATTGGGCCCACTATGGCAGGTCCATTGCTACTTAAACCGGTGAAAACCCCCAAAATCATTATTGTATTATTTGGAAAGATGATATGTTTATAGGTTTTTGATTTTTTTGAGTCGTCCACTTAATTTTTTTTTAAAATAAAGAAAAATTATTTTTTTTCAATCGATTAAAACAAGAACCATTGAAAATGTTTAAAGGAGGTTCGGGAATTCTTATTTATATTTTAGGAAGGTGTTTAGGGCACCTAAAATATCTGTTAATACGATTTTCCAGCAACTAACTTGTTTGGATAAAACGTCTAACTTAAATTTTGAGATAAAAATTATTAACTTGCTATCTAAGTGAAATTTGACTTGCAATATTTATTATTTCTAAATCCAATTGAAGTCGATTGATTTAGTTTAAATAGTTAAAATATAATGGCATCTTGCGGGGATTTGAAGTTTTTGACCTTAAAATTAATGCTAAATAATAACAAGCAAATAGCGATAAAGTAAGAGTGAGAGAGAGAGTTGAGCCTAAGTACGATTTCTGTCCACCTGGACCGGTATTTGGACCCCTTTCATTTTTGGGCCTTAAGCTCATTCGATTTGGTATCTTTCCTAAATCCTAGAAAAAACAATAAATACAAAAAACGTCAAAGGCTTATACCTCAAAATTAAAAAAAAATACAATATTTAAAAAAATATAAATTTTGACTCTCTAGCCCAATCTCTCGAATTTTATCGCCCTGTACATCACTTTCTTTCAGCTTGGGATCCGTACGCCCTTTTATGGAATTGCTCCTCAATTCTAATGGCTGGCTGACTCGGTCAAAGGAAATGATCAAGCCTTTATGGCTCATCTCGGGAATGCAAAAGAAGGGAGTCCACCATGGATTAAAAAGGGGTTCGTACAACAAACGAAAGAAAATATAAGTTATCATAAAGGAAATAAATAGACAATGTTAATTGAGATAAAAGCAACTTAAAAATCTCAAGAGCTTAAATAGACAATGTTAATTGAGACTAACCTTAGATCACTACAAAGAGCTTGCTCTTAGACAAAACGATGTAGAGGCAATGAGTATCAATTAACATATATTTAGCATGGGACCATAACAAAAGATACAAAACAAACATCTTATACTTGGGCAGTGACAGATAAAATCATGCTCCAAGATGGGCAGTGACAGATAAAATCATGCTCCAAGATGACTTATCAAAATAATATCGGCATGTTTTTATTCTAACTAAACATAGCAAACTTCTTGAAGGTGGAACTTTACTGTGACTTAACAAGAAAAACATTTATCACATGGCTAACTATGCTAACAAAAAGTGAGGATCTCGAAATATTGTCAAACTCGAAGATGGTCGAAAGAAATGACCATATATATATATATATATATGTATATATATAAAATAATAAGATTTTTGTAAGCTAAAACAATTTAGGCATCTGCGTAAAAAAAAAAACTTCAGCGCAAGGAAATGAAGCTTAAACCCACCAGAACTTTGATAGCATGATCCACCGACATTTTATCTTATTTTAATAAAGACAAGATAACTGCACAACCTAACCGATAACGGGAGTAGCTACTGGTCACTATGAAAAATTAAACAAGACAAATCAACTAACGTATCATGCAAGAGAAAACTAAGCATAAGGGTCACTGCACATAATACAAAAGAAAGAACCAAATGCTAACAAGTACCCCCTTTTCTCAACAAATGTAAGTTTAAAAAGTAAAAATAATCGGAAAAAAACATTAAGCAAAGAACTAGACATATTTGAAACGTGGAAGCGTAAAGAGAGAGTATTCAGAAAGAAGAGAGATATAAAGATGAAGGTGTGTTTTATTTATGAGGAAAGCTCCTCTATTTATACACATAAATTACACCGTCATACTATTTACTTTACATAATTGGCCGACAAACTTTTTACATGATTGGCCGACAAACTATTTACTTTACGACTTTTGTACCTTTGGCTTTTTTCAGCCGACGCAAGACGACAAAAATAAAAAAGACTCTCACTTTATACATATGGCTGATATTCAGCCAACAATAATAATAATAATTTTTA